TTTCATTTAGGTGTTTGGTTTCTAGCTATAAAACTACCTGCTTGTCAAGGAGACTTAAGAAGTTCCATTTTTCTTCTGGATAAAGGTAATTTACCAACACAGACAGCCACTTCTATGACTAGATGAATTTAGAATCAACAGTACATTGCAAATGGTGCAGTTACCTCCTCTTATTTGAGTACTAGTACTAGTTGTTGAACCTGTGAAAATATATGTATTGGATTGCATCTTCCTGACTATATAAAAGGGTCAGATTTCTTTCTGATTCTGTGCTACCTTTAGCAACTGCCCTGATGGACATCATCACCTTCTTCAATGTTAATTCAATAACAAAACTGCTTCATTTATGGAGAGATTTTCTGAAAGAGCAGAAGATTTTGCTTTTAATTATTTTCCAACACTGTCAGCAAACTTCTACCTTCCTATATTTTAACAATTTAGGCAGGTATAAGAAAATTATGTATATATTTATTAAGAAATGTTACATACAGTCTTTTTTTGTTGTTGTTGCCCAGGCTGGAGTACAGTGGCACGATCTTGGCTCACTGCAACTTCCACCTCCCAGGTTCAGGCAATTCTCCTGTCTCAGCCTCCTGAGTAGCTGAGATTACAGGCGTGTGCCACCACACCCAGCTAATTTTTGTATTTTTAGTAGAAACGAGATTTCACCATGTTGGTCAGGCTGGTCTCAAACTCCTGACCTTGTGATCCACCCGCCTCAGCCTCCCAAAGTGCTGGAATTACAGGCATGAGCCACCATGCCCGACCACATAGTCTTTTCTAATAATTCGGTAAAGGTTGCACATTAGAATACTCACGGTACTTCATGTAGATATTTGCATGCTTATTTTCTTAAAAAAAAGGATAAAACACATTTATATATATTTACATATACATACATGTGTAGCATACTGTACTCCATAAATATGTACAATTATGTGTCTAAAATTTTTTTAATTTTTGTCCAAAAATGTCTGTCTAAAAATTTTTTAAATTCAAACTTACACTAGTTAACATTTATATAGCACTTATAAGGTGTCAGAGTCTATTTTAAGTGCTGTCCTACACATTCATCTTCCCCTTATTACTCCTCCTCCTCTTCATCCTCCATTCTTCCCCTTTCCCATTCCTCATCTTTCATTCTTATTCTTCTCTTCTTTCAGTCCTTCACGATTTTCATTTTACCAATAAAGAAACTGAGTCAAACAGATTAGGAGAGTTGCCCAAATTCAAGTAAGTACTAAATGGAAAATAATGGAAACTGTATATATATAGTATCCATTATGTGGAGTGTGGCTTTGTACATTTATGAGCCAGATAATTATAAAGTAATTTTATTCCTCCAACACATTTTTTGAAGTATCTATTTTTATATTAACCACAACTGAAAAATATCAATTTTTTTACCAATTGTAAATATAGTAGAAGTAAAATATTCAAAATATTTAAATTTCAAATTTCTATTGTAACATCAAAGTACAATTTTGACAATCCAAACTATAATTTTTGTTTCTTTTTTTACAATGAACAATTGCACTTGAGGACTTAGGTTGTATAAGTATACCAACTATTCTCCTTAACTAGTCCAAGAAACTTCAGAAACTGTAGTGAGTTTTCAGGCTCCCATTATATCATTTAATTAATGGGTAAATCAGTGTGTTACAGGGCACTCTGGTGGGAAGCTTTAACCAATGAAACCATCTCTGACAACACTATAAAGAAGAACTGATCTAACACAAATGATTCGGTTGTCAAATCAAATCAAATTAATCAGAGATCTCACCCAGAATCAAGATTTACTAGTAGTTTCAAGGACCCAGGCAATCAAAAACAAAAGCAAAGCTGAGAAAACTGGGGGCATTCCACGTGGCTCTCTAAATCTTTCCTTCCTCACACTGGACACAGGCTGTCTGTCCCAGGCTGAAATGAGGTCTCTAGCAGAGATTTGTGGGTCACCTCACAGAGTGATGAGTATTTGTAATAGGAAGCATCTCCATTTTATAGACCTAGAGAGTCATAGATCTTATATGACATTTTTTGAAGAGTCAGCCCTCAAAAACCCACAGATTGTTGGTTTGCTTTCTACAAACAATCCTAAAACAGGGACACCCAACCATTAGCATTCCATAGATAATGACTTTCCTTTAATTCACTATCAATTCTCTTATTGCCAAGAGGTCAAATTATCAATGTATGTTTATAACGAGTCAGACTGACTAGATCATTAGTCTACTTTTCAGGGAAGAAATGGATGGAAAGCTGTTTAACACTTTCTTCCCCAGTGGGTAATCAGACTAGATGCATATCTGGGCTCCCCCAGTGAGTGGCTCTATGATTTGACCTGTTTACCTGAATCTTAGCTGTGGTTATCATTGTCAAATTTTCTGGGTTTCCATTAACATTACCTGTGATCATTGCAACGAGACCTAAGATATCTAAATCCTTGAATCCATTCTTAATATCTTCCATTACCCACATGTAAAATAAACATGAAGCACAGAGAAAAATTTCAAAATTTCATCTGTGACAACATGCATAAATCACTAGGTTTTTTTTCTTTGTTGTAAAAATTTATTTAAACACTTATGTGGGGCCCCATCCCTGATCTACTAAATCACAATCATTGATTATTAAACCCACCAGGAACTTGAGTTTTCCATTTTTCCCTTGTGAACTTTATGCACACAAGATCTGCGACCATGTTCTTTATATAGGGGTTATGGTGGTGGACTACTGGTAGAACTTACAGTCAGTGTGACTTGAGTGTTTACACAGGGCTCAGTACATAAATACTCTGAATTTTGATGAATTTGATGATAAGAAGCTAAAGAGTCATCTTTGCTCTGCTCACTATCCCCAGATATTAATCTAGATAAGGGTTCCACCTGTGGCATCAAGAGCCTGCTTTCTTTAGATTAAACTGCAGGTGACAAAGGTAAACTAAAAGTAAAATGTTTTGGCCCAAAGCCACTTTGCAACTCTTTCCTAATAATTCCCATACAGCAGAAATTTATAGGGACCTGGAGGCTGCATACATTTTGATGATCCATCATCACCAAGCAGTATAAACTAGAGCTGGGATGAAGAGCCCATCACATTTTGATGGGTCATTCTTTAATTTCACAGGGGCTGGGTGTGCTCACTTTGAAAGTTAGAGGACAGAGCAAAAAAAAAAAATCTTACTATATTTCTTTAGTTTTCAGGCTGAAATAAATACAAAGAAAGATGATTGTTCTTAAATCTGGACTCAGGTCCTTTGTACCTTGGGCAATTTTCTTTTACTTTTTTGAAAATTATTATTCACATGTAGTTTGCATGTTTGTTCCCTCCAAATCTCACGTTGAAATGTGATCCTCAGTGTTGGAGGTGGGGCCTGGTGGGAGGTGTTTCAGTCCTGGGTATGGATCCCTCATGAATGGTTTGTTGCTCTCCCCTTGATAATGAGTGAGTTCTCACTCTATTATTCACGTGACAGCTGGTTGTTAAAAGAAGGCTGGCACCTCCTCCTCTCTCTTGCTCCCTCTTTTATCATGTGACATGCCTTCTCCCCCTTAAACCTTCCACCATGATTGAGGGCTTTCTGAAGCCTCACTTAGCAAATGCTTGCACCACCATTACGTAGCCTGAAAAGCCTTGAGCCAAATAAACTTCCTTTCTTTATAAGTTACACAGCCTCAGGAAATCCTTTATAGCAACACAAAATGGACCAACACAATATGGTATCTAAAAGCAGACGAAGAAAATCTGCATGAAAACACCCAAAAGGGTACCAACATATGGTAGGCACTCAAGAAAAAATGTTTCTGTGTCCTGTTTCAGGATTAGACTACAGCGAAATATTATTCAACAGGATTCTGTCATATTTGGCAAAAACTATTCTTGCTTCCTCTAATCTCAAAATTCAGGAAAGCCTAAGTAAGAATAACTGTTTAGCTTTGGTCTTTAATACTGAGTTTTTTTCTCAACTGATTCTTTTTTCACATTTCTTGTCTACTTGTTGCCGAGCTGTGCTTTCTTCTCTTGACTATGGCATTTAGCCCCATTACCAGTCACTGCCTCATTCACCCGTCAGGCATGTACCAGGCAGATGCCATTAGCCGATTCCATGTAAAGCCTGTAAACTAAAGAAACTCCACTTTTAACTGTCTCACTTTCTTTTTCTCTTTCTTTCTTTTCTTTCTTTCTTTCTTCACTCCCTTCCTTCCTTCTTTTTATCTTTTTACTCTTTCTTTCTTTTCTTTCTTTCTTTCTTTTTCTTTCTTTCTTTCTTCCTTCCTTCTTACCTTCTTTCTTTCTTTTCTTTCCTTTATTTCATTTCAGTTATTTATTTGATGGAGTTTTGCTCTGTAGCCCAGGCTGGAGTACATTGGCATGATCTCGGCCCACTGCAACCTCCACCTCCCTAATTCAAGTAATTCTCCTGCCTCAGCCTCCCAAGTAGCTCAGATTAGAGGTGTGCACCACCATGCCCAGCTAATTTTTGTATCTTTATAGAGACAGAGTTTCACCATGTTGGTCAGGCTGGTCTCAAACTCCTTACCTCAAGTGATTCACCCACCTCAGCCTCCCAAAGTGCTGATGTTAAGGCATGAGCCAGCATGCCCGGCCTTAACTGCTTCACTTTCTGTGTGGACTTGATTTATTGTTTTTCAAGGGAATATTCTGTTCCCCAACCTTTGAGGTTTCTGTCTGACTAAGAACATATTTCAAATTTATACTTACTTTAATGTTATAACAATATCTATGGATGATTTATCATTGAAAAGCCTTTCTGTGTACTTCAAAATCCCTCAAATATAATTTATTCCTTTTTAAAGATAAATGCATCCTTAAGATTTGTTAATATTTTATTCCAAGTAGCTTCAAAAAACATTATTTCTAATTTGTTTAACTTTTAATTCTTAAGCAACTGATTCAATTTTGATAAAATTTAGCAGTAATTAGTTACATGCTGCAATTAATTTTAGTAATTATTTATTTAAAAACCATAGAGAGAAACATTTATGGTCATTTGGCTTTTGGCAAAGATTCCAAGGAAATTTAATGGGTAAATAATAGTGTGTGTGTGTGTGTGTGTGTGTGTGTGTTTCCAAACAAATAGTGTGAGAACAATTGAATATCCAGATAAAAACAATAAACGTTAATGTCTACCTCACATTATATACAAGAATTAATTCAGCATTCATTATTAAAATAAATTTAAGTGTTAAAATTATAAAACTTTTAGAAGAAAACAGGAGGAAAATCTTCATTACTTTGGTTTAGGCACAAAGTTTTTAAATAGAACACCAAACATATTATCCCTAGAAAGCAACAAATGGACAAATTGAACTTTAGCAAAAAGCTTACAACTTTGTGCTTCAAAAGACATCATTAAGAAAATGAAAATACTAGTCACAAACTGGAAGAAAACATCTGCAAAATTAAATTATATTGAACAAAGGGATTGCAGGTAACTCAGATTTTTCAGTAACAAAACAAACACCTCAATTACAAAGGAACACAAAACTTGAATAGAAATTTCATCATGGAAAATATAGGAATGGTAAATAAGCATATAGATGCTTAACATTATTAGTCATTAGGAAAAGTGAAAATTGAAACAAGGTGTAATAACATTGAACAGCCACTAAAATTGCTATAATTTTTTTTTTTTTTTTTTTTTTTTTTGAGACTCAGTTTCGCTCTTGTTACCCAGGCTGGAGTGCAATGGCGCGATCTTGGCTCACCGAAACCTCCCCCTCCTGGGTTCAAGCAATTCTCCCACCTCAGCCTCCTGAGTAGCTGGGATTACAGGCACGTGCCACTAAGCCCAGCTAATTTTTTATAGAGACGGGGATTCGCCATGTTGACCAGGATGGTCTCGATCTCTTGACCTCATGATTCCACCTGCCTCGGCCTCCCATAGTGCTGGGATTACAGGCTTGAGCCACCGCGCCCAGCCAGATGGCTATAATTTTAAAAGACTGACAGTACCAACTGTTGACAAAATACGGAGGACTAAGAACACTTACACAGTGGTGATGGGAATATAAAATGACACAACCACTCTGAAAACAGGTTGGCATTTTCTTAAAACATAAATTTATCATGTAACCATCAGTTATACTCCCAGGAATGTATCCAAGGGAAATGAAAACATGTCTGTTCGAAAATCTGCATATGTGTGTTCACGACATCATTATTCTTCGTACCTTAAAACGGCAAACAATCCAAATATCTATCCACAGTTGAAGAGATAAATATAAGTGTACTATGTCCACTAAATTGAAAACTATTCAATAAATAAAAGGGCGCATACTAGAACACAAATCAGTCTACAAACATTATGCTAAGTGAGAGAACACAGACACAGACGATGCGCATTATATAATTCCATTTATAGAAATAGCCTAGCATAGCCACTTTTTTTTTTTTTTTTTTTTTTTTTTTTTTTTTTGAGACGGAGTTTCGCTCTTGCGACCCAGGCTGGAGTACAATGGCGCAATCTCGGCTCACCGCAACCTCCGCCTCCTGGGTTCAGGCAATTCTCCTGCCTCAGCCTCCCGAGTAGCTGGGATTACAGGCACGTGCCACCATGCCCAGCTAATTTTTTGTATTTTCAGTAGAGACGGGGTCTCACCATGTTGACCAAGATGGTCTCGATCTGTTGACCTCGTGATCCACCCGCCTCGGCCTCCCAAAGTGCTGGGATTACAGGCTTGAGCCACCGCACCCAGCCGCCACGTTTGTTAAGACAAAAAGCAGACTGGTGGTTACTGGGGATGGGAGCAAGGAAGAACTGCAAGCCTGCATGAGAAAACATCTGGAGATTACAGAAATGTTCTGAAACTGGATTTCAGAGGCAGTTGCACAGGTCTATAAATGACTATAATAACTAAATTGCACACTTACAGTAAGGTAATTTTATGATGTGCAAATTATCCTTTAATAAAGCTGTTTAATTGTTTTTTGAAAGAAGAAGCTTTATGGAGAACGTTTCCCTTGGGAGAATTCAACTGACTTCCTCTTCTCTCGCAGGCTGTTAGTGTCTTCTATGGTGCCAGGCCCCTTTAATCAGTATGGAAACATATCCCAATTCATTCATCTTAAAAATACCCTTCCCCACACAAGTGTTGCTACACCCTCCGATCTGATCTCTGAACTTTGTTGTCAAAGTCACTTTCTTGTCTTCTTTACTTTCTCCTGACCTTTGAACATAGTACATTCTGCCTCCACCATTTCACCAAAATAACTTTTTTTTAAAAGTCATAAATAGCTTTCTTATTACTGAATGAAATTAATTTTATAAGACTTTGGTGTCTGTAAATTCTGTGTGCTTTCTGACACAGTTGACTCTCATTCTGTATAAAACTCCTCGCCCCTGAGTTCCCTGACACCAGATTTTTCTTCTGCATTTCTAGCCCATGTGTCAGAATCATTGAATGTTGACCTTGGGATCATCCTTTCCATTTTGATTGTGTCTGTGTTTGAGGCCTCTTCTATTGTCAATCTCCCAGTTCATGTGCGATCTCAGGTACTACCCAATGCTGCCTGCCTCTCTGCTCTCCCAACCCTGTCTCTCTCCTCTCTTTCCCTGAATAGCCTCACTGTCTACCCAGGTCCATGAATAGCCTCGCTGTCTAGCCAGGTCCCCAGCCCACAAATATGACATCATCTTGCTTTACTCCTCCACATATGAACAATCACCAAATCCTGCTAAATCTGCCTTCCACATATGTATGTCCTGATCCCACCCCTCCCTGTTCTACCACCACCCTCTGCAGGAGACCACCATTTCCAGGAATCAAGATTCCAGGTTTTCCCCAATCCTCTGAGTCAGCATAACTGGCCTTTCCCTAGGATATGCACTCCTTCTCTGTAGCTCCTGGTCCCCATGCAGCTCCTATTATATTATGTTTTGTGCGGCTACATGCCGTTGAGTTAATTGACTTTTTTGCCTTCTAGATGTTAAGATCAGTGAGAGCAAAATCTATGTTGACCTAATTCACCAGCATTTTTACAGAGGATCCCATATTTCAAGGAATGAATAAATGCATAGATTAAAAACAAACACACAAGGTTTTCAGTTGTAAGCTCAATATTATTCAACAGAGTCGTGCAATTTAAAACAGTCCTACTGTGAATGTCAGCTTCACAGAGACCGTAACTTCAGAACAAAACATACCCTGTCCCACTCCTGGCACTACTTCACCTCATTGCAGGCTACTCTCAGCAGCACCAGCAAACCCAGTTAGCAGGCAGTGTTTACATCAGCAAATAGTCTCCAAACTACATTAAATGAGGAAAACTTGGGAACTACTTTAAAACAGTTTTGACTATCATACAGTTATTTCCTTATTTTTCCTTCAATGTCTGTGACAAAGACCATTGAAGAAAAGTTAAATACATATTGGTTTTCGTTCGGAAAGCACTTTACATCAGAAAAGATCCCCAGAGTTAGAACAGGATGATTTCGACTTCCAGTCCCTGGAAGTGTTATGTTCAAGATTAAAGATTATAATTTGGCAAAACATTGGCAAAAATTTTAGCAGTAAGTGAAAGATGTGGCGTAGGTGACTAATAATCTTTCTTTGGGTCAAAGGACACTATAGTAAAGCAGGAAATGGTACCTAATTCCAAATCAATAGTTACTTAATGAAGCAATTAGAGGTATGATATATGAACACAATTCCAAGTTGCCTTAAGTAGTTAAACTTTACCTACAATAGATTTTACAGTGTGCTAACAATAAAGGCAACTTTGTAAATGCCAATACATGAAACTCAGATATGTGACAGAAATCAGAGAAGATTTCTTCACTGCCTTAGAGAATTAACTCAATTAAAATAAATATAGATTTTAGCAAATGAATATACAGTAAGCTAGACATAAAAAAGCCTTTTCAGCCTAATAAAAGTAATAAATGAGGAAACTAAAAAAGCATACTTTGGAATTACTTACCATGGGGATAAAAATATAGTAAAAGAGGAATATTTACTGATACTGTACAATACACAAAATACTAGTGGATGAGATAAGAAATTAGCATACAGAGTTCTGTTAAAGGTGGTTAGAGGTGACCAGAGGAGGGAACATGTAGGTAAAATAACATAAGTATAACACAAAGTAGAAAATGCTAAGACTTTGGGAGTTTAGAACAGAGGGAAGAAAATGTCTCCCTTTTAAGAGAACCAGGTCCTAACATGTGTTAGAGACTTCACTTCACCCGCCTTCATGAAATTGAAATATCAGTAGTCCCCTTATGTGTGGAAGAGAACTGAGACTACAGAGTCTCTGTCTTGGACCCAAAATATGCTAAGTCTCCCATTCAAATTATTTGTTCTTTCTCAATACTGACGAGAGGAAGAAAAAAAGACAAGAAAGAAAATAAATCATCTTTATGTGAAGTAGGGGATGGTTGGGCTCCCTCGGGCTTTGCATAGGAGCTAATCCCAGAAAATGAACAGTCAAGACTCTTACAGTTTCTATTTTAACAAGGCTTTTGCCAATTATTGTTGACAAGCTCATGAATATGATAATAAGCTCAGTCTCCTGTCTCTCTTTATACCAAGCTTCGCAGTAATAGTCTGCAAAGTACATCCATCTCCCCGCCTCCCTCTCCCAGGGCCCTAGCCTTGTTTCTGACACATACGTTAAATTCCTGAGGTATCGATACTAAACCCCTGCTGCTCATAATTCCTTTCTATTGCCTGTCAACACCTGGTCATTTTTATCTGATGAACATACTCACCACTGGGTTTCCAAGCAGGACACTGCAGTTATTCATTTACACCCACAATTTATTAACTCTGTTACAGTCATGAACATAAAGAGTTTGGGTGTGATTCCAGAATTTGCTGTTCCCTTTGAAATTTATTTCAAGGCACTTTGTGACCCTGTAACTTTGAAAGCCCTGTATAAAAGAGAGTTTATTATTAGAGCTCCAACCAGCAGGGTGGCTTTTGTTATAGGTCTGGCAGCGATTCTATGAAAGATTTCTCTTTTTAGCTCTTTCTGTGGACTAACCCTCAGTCAAAATTTTATAAGTGCAAACTCAAGCAAGCAGGGAATTTGTGTAACAAAATATCATTCCATGAGTTTGTCTCTTCTGAGATAAAATAATAGCAACCTTTAAAAAAACATGCACTATAGGGGCCTGATAGTTTTATCATTCTTCTGTATATTAAAACTTCTAGCTCTAACTTCCTAAACCAGTATAAGAACAGGGTGTGACAGAATGATGTCAAGGACTTACTCACAGTAGCAGTATGGAGCTTAATTTTCCTGGTTCTTTGTAAGTTGCTTTTCTCTTATAAAAACATCATTTTAAAAATTCTAATAGACAATGATCAAATCAATTTACATATGATGTGTCACTACATTGTGCATTAACTAATACAATATGTTAATTTCACATCAAGTTTCAGTTCCCGTGAGGGTGACCAGCCTTGCCAAAGGCATTGTATGGTCATTGCATTTCAACTAATTCAACGGCATTTTATCAATATTGAGGTTATATATCCTTTTCCACTTACTATGGAAATACAGAATTTTTTGCTCATGCAGTAGCAACATTATCTAATACAGTAATGGACCATCCCTGGAAATTAGAATGAAATAAAAACAAAAAACATTGACATATCTATCTCTTTTATCTGAAAATAACTTGTCGACACATACCTTTATGTTTGTGAGTTAGGAGTCCTAGACTCCAATCATGAGAGCTAGTTAAATTATTAACTGTACCAAACTCTTCTATCAAATTCTTCAGGAGAGCAGCTTTGTACTTACATGATTCTACTGAGATATTAGAAGAGAAGATTGTCTATGGTCAGTCCAGGGCTCTCAAGGAGGAAATCAGGAGTTTCTTCAGTCACCACTAATCTCAAAATCCTGCATTTAGAAACTCAATTGAATCCAGACATTCAGAGGTGACTGTCTCAATACTAGTCTAGTACATTCAAAAACTGAAACCCATAGATATGTTTCAGGAAGCAGTGAGTTCCTCATGATAATTATTTTATTCTGTGTTTTCATTTTGTGGATGATAATAAGAGATCTGCTAGAGACAGAATATTTTTATCTCCCAAAAATTTATGAGGAAACCTAATCTCCAATATCATGGTGGCTAGCGGTGGGGCTTCTTGAAGGTGATAGGTCATGAGGGTGGAGCTCTCATGGGAGAGATTAGTGCCCTCATAAAAGAGGCCCAGAGAACTGCCCTTCTACCATCTGAAGACATTATGAAAAGAAACCATATATGACCAGGAAGTACACACTCACCAGACAGTAAACCTGCTTGCTGCTGCCTTGACCTGAGACTTTCCAGCCTCCAGAACTGTGAGAAATCAACTTTTTGTTGTGTATCAGCGACCCAGCTTATGGTAATGTGTTATAGCCATCCATGCTGACAAAAAAGATCATAAAGCATTGAAAACCATCACACAATGCAGTATTGTTACATAATTGAATTCTTTGCATTCACATGTATTTTAATTGTAGTATACTAATGAGTAAAGAAGTAAGGTAGATTTGACATATAAATTGTGCGTTTGTACTGAATTCATTTGATGTACATTATTCAAAGAAATGTCTCACATTGCTTATTTCAACAAATACTTTGGGATGATTCCTCTATATTAGACACTCCTCAATACCAGGTACTGGAGAAATAGTACTGAATAATTGCTTTCTTCTCTCAGGGAATATACAGCCTCATGAGCCAGACAGAGAGGAAGCAAATCAATTAACACACCAACAAATTCTTCAGTCACTTGAAAACTAGGAAATAGTGATGTATGCTGATCAGGGAATACTGTGGAGTGAACAAGAGAATCAGGACAGCTGGTTGAGATCATCTGGAAAGTTGTTTCTGAGATCTAAATGATAAGAAGCAATCTGTGGCATGAATGTCATAGGAAAGAGTGTCTCTGGCTGGAAATACCTCCTAGCGTGAAGCCCCTCTGGCAGAAGTGCAAAAGTCCACACATAACAAAAGACACCGTGGATGAGTTTGGTGGCCAGCTCAAGGATGCTGTGGAATGAAGTGGGGGCAGTAGCCAGGGGCAGACCGTGGCAAGGAGGTAGAGTTTACATTCCATTGGGAAGCCTCTGAAAGTGGGCCAGGCATGGTGGCTCAGCCTGTAATCCCAACACTTTGAGAGGCCAAGACAGGCGGATCACAAGGTCAGGAGATCGAGACCATCTTGGTTAACATGGTGAAACCCCATCTCTACTGAAAAGAAATACAAAAAATTAATCAGGTGTAATAGTATGCCCCTTTAGTCAGAGGTTGGAGTGAGCCAAGATCATGCCACTGCATTCCCGCCTGGGTGATAGAGTGAGACTCTGTCTCAAAAAAAATAAAAAAATAAGTAAGTGAAAAAGTTATAAATGATAAACCAGGCTATGGCAGAGAAAAATCGTATAGTATAGGAGATCAAGAAAGGAAGTAAATAAACTGGCTAGGTGGCTATTGCTGTGATCCAGGTGAAACAGCATAGGAAAACTGCTAACACAATGAGGCAGCGGGGAAAAGTGGGAGAATCCACAGTATGATTTGGAAGTAGTGTTGCCATCTATGGTCGTGTGCTATGACGATGCCAAACATCAAAGATGAACCACATATACAAGGATGGCACTATGAAATTACAATGAAGGTAAAAAACTCTATTGCCTAGTGACATCCTGACTGTGGTAAGATAGCATAAAACATTACGCATAAAGCATTACTCACATATTTGGGGACATGCTGGTGTGGAGAAATCCACTGTGTGACCAGTTGTATAAAATCATAGCAGAAACAATGATGCACAATACATAATACTTGATAATTGTAATAAACGACTATGTTACTGGTTTTGTATTCACTATATTGTACTTCTATTATTGTTTTAAAGTTTACTTCTACTTTAAAAAAAAGTTAACTGTGAAACATCTTCAGGCAGTTCCTTCAGGAGGTGTCTAGAGAAGGCATTGTTATCACAGGAGATGACAGCTCTATGCATGTTATTTCCCATGAAGACCTCCCAGTTGGGCAAGATGTGGAGGTGGAAGATGCTGATATTGACAATGCTGACCTGTGTAGGCCTAGGCTAGTGTGTGTTTCTGCCTTAGGTTTTATCAAAAAGTTTTCAAATAAATGAAATTAAGATCTAAAAACAGAAAACAGCATATGGAAGAAAAATATAAAGAAAGGAAATAATTTTGTACACTTGCATATTGTGTTTGAGTTTTAAGCTGGGTGTTGATAAAGTAAAAAGTTACAGGAAGCTAAGGCTAATTTTTTATTGGAGAAAAATATAAATTGTATGTAACCTAAGTGTATAGTATTTATAAAGTCTACACTAGTATGTAGTAATGTTCTAGGCCTTCACATTTACTTACCACTCACTCACTGTCTCACCCAGAGAAACTCACAGTCCTGTAAGCTCCATTCATGGTAAGCTCCCTATAAAAGTGTATCATTTTTAATACTTTATACTCCACCAACTTTTCTATGTTTAGATAAACCAGTACTTGCCATTGTATTACAATTGCTTACCATATTTAGTACACGATGTACTGGTTTGTAGCCTAGAAGCGATAGGCTATACCATATACTTTAAGTATGTAGTAGGCTATACCATCCTTGATTGTATAAGTACACAGTATGATGTTTATACAAAGATGAATTGCCTAAGGATGTACTTCACTAGCAAAGTTTCTCCAGAAAAACAAAACCAGTAAAATAGATGATAGGTAGGTAGGTAGGTAGATAGATAGATAGATAGATACATACATACATACATATATACATATAGATAGATGATAGATAGATAGATATAGATCTAAAGATAGATATGCTTACACTCTATATAGATAGAAAATAATAGATATCATATATCTGTATCTAAATATACCATGCATATAAAGATATTTATTATAAGAAATAAGCTCACCTGATTATGGATGCTGAGAAATCCTATAATTTGATCTCTGCATGTTGAAGACCCAAAGAAACCAGTTGCATGATTCCAGCCTGAGTTTAAGGGCCTGAGAATCGGAAGCATCAGTGGTATAATTTCCAGTCTGAGGACAGCAGAAGACCAAAGTTCCAGCTCAGGCCTTCAGAGAGAGGAGAGTGAATTCTTCCTCCCTTTAACTTTTCGTTCTATTCAGGTCTTCACCTGAGTAGATGATAGTGTACACCCACCAGAGGAAGGGCAATCTGCTCTACTCAGTCTACTGATTCCAATGTTTATGACATCCACAAACACCCTCATAGGTACACCTAGAATGATGCTTGACCAAGTATCTAGACAACCTATGATCCAGTTAAGTTGTCACATAAAATTGACTATCCCAGCCTATACATGGAGAATTTTTAACAGAACTGGGGTGAGAAAAAAACTGTCTATAATCAAGGCCATTTTTTTTTCTGTCACATTTCCCTGCTTCTTAATGATAAACCATTCCTTCTGGGGAAAAAAAGAAACAGTACAGTGTGAAGTCTACTCACCAAACTGTCCCCTGTGCCCCATGATCTCCTATCAAAGGGGTGATGAATCAGCACATTCTTGATGGTTTCACTGCTTGCCAAAATAAATAGCAAATGGCAGTGGAGCTCAGCTTAGAAACGACATCAATAGATTCTGATACTGCAGGGCATATCGGTTAGCAATTCTGTGAGATGTTCTCATGGGACACCTATCCTCCCCATTTGGCTGTCATTCTTTGTCTTTGCAGTTGGTTTGCAAGAGCTGAGAATTTTAAATTCATTTTTAACCATCCATATGCACAATAAACAGCAGACAACGACTCTCTACAGAGAAACTTAGATTAGAATAAATGTGTGACCAAACAGGAATATATTTAAAGAAGAAGGAAAAAAAGTTTGTGTGTTATCTATTTTATTTACTTTTACTTTTTACGTTTTAGCTTTGTGCCTTTGGGCCTGAAAAGGTGGTTGAAACAACAGAGAGGCTGGGTACAAGCCCTGCTTCTATCATTAATTGTGCTATCTTGTTTCATATTCTTTGTAAACATAAATCAAAGATTGCTTGACTTGATTTTCCAGTTTACCACATATTTATGGAAGACAGCTGTCCACCAGACGTTGTGTGTGCGAGGGATCTCCTGTCCATCATATCAGTGACCCTTTCTGCAGTTTCACATGGTAGACATGATTATTCCCATTTCACTCAACTGAGCAAATGGCAGAGCAGTGATTTACATGTTGATAATGTTAAATCCAGTATCCTTCAAACCGTGTAAATAAAATGATACATTTAAGCCATTCTCAAGCAGGGCAAATACATACTTAGGAAAATGAAGATATTTTTAAATTACACAATTTTCATAAAATTGAAGATCCATAGTGTAAACTTAACTAGAAATAATCGTTCCTTAAAAAGTGGAGAGGTGCTCTTCACTTTTCCCTCATGCCAGAGAGTACCTCACAGCCTTGAAGGATGGTTACAAAATCTGGGTGCCTTCTCTTTTCTCGGGTCCTGCGTTCATGCCTGCCCCACCATGAATGAAGAGTACAAGATGATCGTGCTGGGCATTGGCCTGATGGAATGTATCCTTTCAGGTATAATGTTACTGAAGGGAAAGAAAGTTCTTCATATGAATTGAAACCCTTACTATGGAGGAGAGAGTGCCTCTATAACACCACTGGAAGATTTACACAAAAGATTTAAAATACCAAGATCACCACCAGCATCAATGGGGAGAGGAAGAGACTGTAGTGTTGACCTGATTCCCAAGTTCCTTATAGCTAACGATCAGCTGGTTAAGATGCTGCTTTACAGAGAGGTAACTCACTATCTGAATTATAGTGACTAAAGGGAGCTTTGTCTATAAGGGTGGACAAATCTACAAGGGTTCTTCCACTGAGGCAGAAGCCTGGCATCTAGCTTAATGGGACGGTTTAAAAAATGTCACTTTGGGAAATCCCTAGTGTATGTTGCCAACATAGATGGAAAAGATCCGAGAACTTTTGAGGGAATTGATCCTAAGAAAACCCAACGTGAGAGGCGTATAAGAAATTTGATTTGGGCCAAGATGTTACGGATTTTACTGGTCATGCTCTTGCGCTTTACAGAAGTGATGACCAGTTAGATTAACCATGTTGTGAAACCATTAATGGAATTAAACATGACAGAGAATCTTTTCAACATACGGCAAAAGTCCATCCCTTTACCCACTCTAAGGCCTTGGAGAACTGTCACACAGCTGTTTGCAAGGCTAAGTGCTATTTATGAGGTACCCAAGGTCAAATAAACCGATTGAATAAATCATTTTGCAGAATGGAAAAGTAATTGGTGTAAAATCCGAAGGAGAAGTTGCTTGCTGTAAGCAGCTCATCTGTGACCCCAGCTACATAAAAGACTGGCTAGAAAGAGTGGACCAGGTAATCAGAGTTACTTGGATCCTCAGCCACCCCATCAAGAACGCCAGTGATGTCAACTCCTGTCAGGTCATTATTCCAAAGAACCAAGTCAGTCAAAAGTCAGATATCTGGATTTGCACAATCTCCTCCATGCACAGTGTAGCGGCACTTTCACTCGAAAAGAAGGTAAAATCCAGTTATAAGACATGTAATTCATTTAATTATCTCTAGACAGAACTAATTTAGACTAGGATGATATTGACTAGCTTCAAAAGCAAGTTTGAGATTATGTCCTCTCATTCAAATTAGTAATTCTGAATCCTTCTGGCTGGGGAAGTATCTGATCTCTCCTGCTTACAAGAATAAAGAAAAGAATGGACCGTCACTCTGCTGAGAAAACCACAGTTGACTTTACCACACTAGGTTGGCTAATACAATATCTTTTCCAAAGAAATAAAAGCATATCAATAATTTTTACCAAAGACGTTCTGATAAAATTAATCTAAGTTTGTAAAATACATATGAAAGTCAATTGAGGCAACTTTTGGTGAAATATGAATGAAGAACTTAGTGAAGTTTTCAGTATGATTTCTGAGCTCCCACTAGTAATCAAGACAAGATACAAAATCATTTTAAATGGAATTTAGCTGCCTAATTTTAAAAATTCAATTTAAAAAATGTGATCTAAAAGAGTCAAAAAAAGACACTTTTTTGTTAAGTGTGAATACTCCAGCAAATGTTACCTTTAGTCATCAGAAGCCCCTTATATTTAGAGGCTAAGTTTGAATTTATGTGTCTGAGTCCATGATCACAGTGGATTTCATCTCTCAGTTGGGTCAGACCATAAATAAGGCTGTATCAGCTGATTTTAGCCTCTAAATATAAGTCTTATGTTTAGGCTAAAAATAGTTAATTCACATGCAGTGCAAAAGATCCTGGATTCTAAAATGTATTTTAAAATTTCCCTTCTCAGAGTGGAATGACTTTGCACTTCAATTTGTTTATTGTCCTGTGGAAGATGTACAGGAAAACATTCTTTATATTTAATAAAACGGTCATGGGAATGAAACTAGTATTTATTTAAAAATCAAAGAAGAAATCTCTATTTGTAATGAACCAACACACAAGTATAAGAACATCTGTAAAGGTTTCAATTTGGCCTTGCTATATAGGGGTTACTTTTTAAAGTTATCATATGCCAATTTCATGTTTACCTACCTCCCTGACTCGTGTTGTTGAATAGACAAAAAAAAAAAAAGATGACTCTGCTTGCTGAATTGAAACATAAAATAAGTTCGAGTTTAGAAACCATTTGTATCTTTAATGGCCTTCTGGTAAAGTATCCTCTGGGGCACCAGGTCCTTCAAGCAGATGTTGCCTTGAAATGAGGGGCTTTTCCCTTTGGACACCAACCACATCTTTGCTTTGTTCGTTGCAGTCTCTAGGCCCCCAGTCACAAGCAATATGATCCAACTTGGTTCTAGTGTAGCAGGTTGAATTTTGAAATCAATGTTGTTTCTAAATGTTATGGTTAGATTTAGAAAGAGTGGCATGACCAATTAAAAAATTAGTCAATGACTTAAGAGTGGGGTCAGGCCCACACCCACTTGGTCTTGTGTACATTCTCTCAAGGCAGTTTGATGTCAGAACTTGTGCAGCCTGTCTCATGTGTAGCTCTGACATCAAGCAAGCAGGAGTCCTTTTCCACCACTGACCACTGACCGGCCAGTTAGACTTGGCACTGCTGCAGACGCCACAGGTGGCCAGGGCACTGCCCTTTTACCTCTGAGTGGAGAGCTAAGAGCTATCACCCTTATTCAACTCCAAGCCAGGGTCTGGGGACCAGCATCAGATAGCACTGAAATGTCCTTTTATTAACTCACACCAAGGCAGTCTGTGTTCTCTGCATAGGATCCAACACATAAGGAGAAAAGAACAACACAGAACTGTGAACTAACTTCAAAACTGATAAAAACCATGCTTGATTCAACCCTTCTGAATTTCTATTTTGAGCTAAATAAAATACAAAAGGGCAAGAGATCATGGTTTCAGATTGACCTAAAATCGAATTCTGGTCCTGACAGTTAACTGACATGTCACTTATGCTAGTAGGTTCACGTTCCTGAACTCCAATTGTCTTACCTAGGAAAGGGATTGATATCTGCACCTCAGAACAGTATAGATATGCTGTGAGTTTTAAGGAGAGAGCCCCACTTCCAGCCGTATGGGCCGCTCTGAAGAGTGAAGGAAGAAAAGTGGAGAGAGGCAGTGGGGTGCCCACCTGGAAGCCAACATTAGCTGGGAACCTGACCTGTGGGCAGGAGCTGACCCTGAGAATTGACTAAAGCAACTAAAAAATACCTGAAAATTCATCTGTTCCAGTGCTGGAAACAGAAAAGTTTGAAGATGCTGTGTGGAAGCTTATAAAAGTGGAACCTACTCTGTCCAGGAACATGGCAAATTAGTCCTTAGTCCACAAAGTGATAACAAGCTGATTATATAAACAGATATAAGTATGTGTTTT